TAATTCCTTCAGCTCCAAAGACTATATTCTTCCTATTTTACTTCTGAAATTAGGATGCATCTATTAAATATGTGTGGTCTTTTTCAAAGACTGTTAAGTTTATCCTGTTATCTCACAATGAATGAAATTCTAGAAGTGAAAACTGATAGCTGCTTGACATCTGACTGAATCATCTCTTCTATTGAGGTCTGTTTTCTTACCTGTAAAACAAGGGATTATTACCAAAATGTTCTTTTTTAAAAAAAGTATATGATTACAGCAGTTCAAACTTGTACTGGGCAATGTCATACTAGAGGGCATTATACTAATGTGTGAGAGGGGTTTAACAGAATAAAATCCTGCATTCCACCTCCATGAAAGAAAGCTGCAGTGAATCTGGGAGGTGCAACCCAAGCTTAAGGTGTTCCTGAGGGTCTTGCAACCTTGAAATACAAGTAAAGAACCTTCTTTTGAGTACTTGGTTTTAAGTGCTGAGAGTCCTGGCAAAGAAGTGTTCTCCCCTGGGAAGAGTCCACCAAGAAGGACTCCTGAGAAGCCGGACACCTTGAAGGTGCTGGCTGTGGAGCCATTTGGCAGTAGCAGAATCCTCACACCCAAATGGGAGAAATTTGACCTGCAAGGCTAGGACAAGGCTGAATCTGAACACAAGGGCTAATGCACAAGATAATTAGCATTCATCCAGAGCAGACATGAGCTCAGAGTTGAAGAGCTGGTCTGTGATATATAAAAGATTCTGGGTAATGAATTAGGAGGAAAATGTTTGGAAATCAGAAACCAAAAGACCTTTTGGAATGGTGTGTGGCGTGGTCAGCGATCCTCATTAGCTCATGCATTCAGATTCTGCGGATGTGGCAAAGTCTGTTTTCCTCCTATTAAAGATCAGCGTGAAGGCTGAAAGAGCATGATGATAACAGATCTGCTTGTCCAGCTGCATGGAGCAGTCCTGGACTCCAGGTGTCAGCCCCCACATGCCCCAGACACCTCTTTTKCGCCCTTTGCTATGGTGAGCCCCTGCTTGGAACTGGAACCATCCTTCCCCACTAAGGGAGGCCAGCTCGGCAGGAATAGAAATGTGCGCACCCATAGGCAGGCTTGTGTTTTTAGGTTTAATATGTATAATATAATAAACACCTGAATGCACACCCTGCCCCCAGAAGTGACCAGTGTTTCCATTTGTTTACTCGCCAGAGATCGTTTTTTATCCTCCTCTCCAGAGGCAGCCACTAGCAATGAATCGGTGTTTATTTTGCCAGTTAAATATGAGTGCTTAAGTCCCCCTCTTACAGTTGGAAGGTTATGTTAGGGCTGATCTTTTTTATTCTAAAAACTATGACCTTAAAGCCTAGAGGAGTTGAGTAATCCAAAATTGTCTTTTTTTTTTTTCTTTCTTTGCACATCCTTATTAAGTTTGGCCTGAAGAGAGTGTAATAGGAAGACTCTAACAGTCTGTGAATTTATTCAGTGCCTTCTCTATGCTATTGAAACAAAAGGAGAGAAAATAGAGAATAAAAGGAAGATATAAAGAAAAAGAACCAATGGCATTGTTCAATATCTCTTATCAGGGCTGTGATGTTTATATATGTGAACTAGGAAATAGTATAAAATAGTGGCAGGGAGGAACATTTTTCTTTTTCCTCTACCCTCTTAAGCTCTAGTCTGGAGCTCTGTAAATTTGACTGACAAAAGACAGATTAACAAGAGGCAAACAAACAGAAGTTTATTAACATGTGCAGCACACAACACATAGGGGCATTCAGTGATGAATAACTCAAAGGGATGTTAGCACTGGGAGCTTGTATAGAATCCTAACAAAAGGACCATAAATTTGTAAAAAAGTGACAAGACAAAAAGGATTTCGAGTTTTCAGGGTAGCAAATTGTGGAAAGGTGAATATATGGGGGAGCGAGTGGAAGATAAGAGCCAGTTTTGTAGAGTCCTCTGGTGCCAACTCTGGGATAAGAATCTAGTGTGGTCTTCTGTGATTAACTCTGTCCTTCCTGATAGAGAAAGAAGGACATCTTTATAAATTTAGGTCCTGCTTTTAGGCAAATGGAGAAAGGGCAGATAGCTTTTTCTGTATCTGCTTCTTCTCAGTTGCCTCAAAATAAATCAACATGCAAAAGTGGCATATTTGGGGCTGGCATGTTCTGCTTCCATACAGGGTAGGGCTAAAGGGTATACTCTGTATATTCAGAGCCATGTACAGAAGAGTCAGAAGGTATTCTGCATTATCTAGAAGAGGAGACTCTGTACTGAGGAGTTACTGGAAGTTTTATAAATGGAGAGCAACTCTAAATAGGTTGCAGTGAAGGGTTGGTTTTGAGAGCCTGAGGCAGAATGAAGAGGAAGAAATGAAGGGTCCTGGAACATTATCATCCTACAGACAGTATATCTGAGGGTCATAGTGGCAGGTGAGATCGTATTGTGTGGAGGGGGCAGATTATGCCAGGGGTCTATAGATCAGCTGGAGAATTTTTCAACAGTGACACTGGTAATTATATATCTTTTCAATCATAATAGCTAGTAAAGGGTAATAGTTTATGAAATACACTCTCGCTGAGTGTTCAAATTTGTAAAAAAAAAACATGTTTGGAGGAGACTTTGTCTCAAAGCCTTAAATATATGTGTTCTTCAGCCCACAAAGTAGACCTGAGGTTTATAACAGAAGAAAAAAAAAGGAAATAAATTTCAAAAAAGACCATTATCATTATAGATATTCTATATTTAAAATAGTGTTGCAGTCATGGTAAAATATATGGAATGATCATAATATATACTAGGAACATTGTATATATTAAGAATGAGAAGCATAGAAAAACAAACATGCAGCATTTTTTAAAAAAAATATGCACATTAACTGGGAAAAATTATACCTCAATATTAACAATAATTATCTCTGGGGGGTAGAGTTACTTCTGATTTCTATTTCTTCTTTTTCCTTGTTCATGTTTTCTAAAATTCCTTTCAATGAATGTTTGATTTTATAATAAGTAAGAAAATTATAAAAGTTACAAACCATAACAATTATGCATTTGTTCAAATATCTAAAATATGTTGATCCAGAAGATTGATGAAAATAGTTTCATTTATAAAAGAAGTTATGCTTATTCTAGAATGTGGTGTAAATTACAGTTGTCAAAATTCCCAAATGACCATGTGACTGAGAAAAAAACCCAGACATTCTTAAGCTTACAAGACATAAAGAATAACTTAGGCGGTCTCAGAACAGAGTTAGGTAAAGAAATAAAGGCTGGGTTAATTCATTTAAGAAAACGGTGCTCCCCAGAGCACTTCAAAGGAACATTATCATCCTACAGACAGTATATCTGAGGTTAGACTAATATCAGTTGATTTTTAATGTTTGATAAACTACTCTTCAAACTCTTATATTTTGCTTATCATGACATATGCAAGCAAAAAACAATGGTACTTCTTTCCTGATATGGGGCATAGTTCTCCCCAATGCAAGAGACTGAGAAAAATTTCTTCTAGCCTTATAATTCTCAAGTTCTATGATTGTAGCAAAAGCTAACATTCAGACTGCTGTGTTACTCACAGTATCATTCTGAAATAAAGAGGAACCTCAAGTGATACAAAGTTGTACATTCATTTAAACCACTTTGTGTTTTGAAGTCAGTGAAAAGTTACTATCATATCTGAATTAAGTGCTTTTTGTGTAGGGCCAGTGACCAATTCTAATGGACTTAATCTGACTCCTGTAGCAGTACTTTAATAACTTTAAAAACATACATACATGAGTATTACAATTAATTAGCTCTTCCACCCTGGTGTGTGTGTGTGTGTGTGTGTGTGTGTGTGTGTGTGAGTGTGTGTGTGTGTGCACGTGCCTACACATAGGTATGCACACAGCATCAAATGCAGGATAGCTGAGATAGAAGAGAGCAACTGATGATGACAACTGCCTCTTGTTACAGTGTAACAAGGGTAAAAAAGCATCCCAGGTAACTATGTTACCTCATTCACAGATATACCTATTTAAATAAATTTTTCCAAAAAAGCAAGCAAGCAAGCAAACAAACAAACAAAATTACAAACAAGTGGGGAGCATGCAAGGATAAATAACCATACTGGACCAGAATTGAGGTGAATCACTGATTCAACTTCGTAGAGTTAGGATCCAAATAGGGGGGAAAAAGAAAAAAAAAAGAACATAATTGTTACCCTAAAAGATTTGCCTAACTGCTGGAAATACGGTCAAGAAAACTGACACAACTTTTCTTTTTTTTTCCAGCAAAAAGTTTACTTCCTTGTTCCATTACATAAGGTGAATTTTGATGAAACTTGAAAGTTTTAGTCCCAGAAATTTGCTTTTGAAATTACATTGTTTGTTCCTTAGATGTCCAACATATCTTAGAAATTAAGTACCCAAAGCCTTTAGCATCAGCTGGGATCTGGGTGACAGGAAGGGCAGGAGTTTTCAGCTGAGACTGGGCAGCAATCAAATTAGATGACAAATCATTGCTATTGTTTTCATCTCAGCTGTGTKATTGTCCTCTACCACCCTGATTTCCATTCTCAAAATTGATTGGAATCATGGCACATGTTTTGGAATGTATTGTTAAAATCTCTAGTGTTATAAAATGAGTAGAAAAGGCCACGAAAACATTAAATTAGTGGTTATTTTCCCTCCTTATAGCAGTGACTAAGAAAAGAATGAAGTTAACCCCCTCCCAACCTCACACCATTCATACCCTGTACACAGAGCTCTCTGGAATGCATCTGTGCTTGGAGGTGGGCAGTGTGTGTGTATACATAAGCAAAGTGGTAGGGAAATTCACAGCCCAGCTATTCAGAGATGCCTGACACAGAGAAGGGGCCTTATTTCCTGAGCTTTTATTTGAAATAGTTAAGTATCAGAAAGTTGGGGGTACATAGCCATGCGGAATTTTTCCTCAAATGTTCCCAGAAGCAAATTAACTTTTTAATTTGATATTATCATAACCAAAAAAAAATATATAAATACTTTTGTGTGTGTGTAGTTCAGTGTCCCTGGACCCAAGCATGAGGAGAATGAGCCTCCAGAGCCGACGTGGGCTCATAGATTGGTTGTTACTTCCTCATCTGAGGCTGCTGCCACTCTCGGGCCACTGCTCAGCACCCTTGAGAGTATGAAAACCAGAACTCCAAGTCCTGGACTGATTTTACACCAGGATAATTTGGTGCACAAAGGTAAGAGACACCTAGCAATCAACTGCCGTACCTACCACATGAGGCAGGCACAGAAAGATGGTCTCTAAAATCTCATTTAAAAAAGAATGCACTGACTCTCACCAGGGAGGACAAAAGATATTTTTTTGCTGGGTTATATATAGACTTGTAAATTGGCTGACTGTGGAATCAATTTTATTATAAAAGTTTTAAAGCTGTTTATTTTATTTTAAATGTTATTTCAAATTGAATGCCTTTAGAGAAGATTGTGTTCCGTTTGCCATAGTCCAGCTGCTCCCTGTTGTCTTCCATGTGGCTTCCATACACGTAGGCATTTGAGGTTTTGACCTCTTGATTGCACAAGAAAGAGAAAAAAAGATAAAAATTTAGATTTTGATTCATCAACATATTTTCTTTTTTTAAAAAATTGGTTTTATTTTTTAAATACATGACAGTGGAATGCATTACAATTCTTATTGCACACCAACATATTTTCTATGGAGTTAATATATATGAAAAATTATTTATAGGCATATATATGCATTTTTTGTGAAATATGCAAGAAAAACAACTTCCCTGTTTAGATTGGCTTGAAAACAAGTTATACAATATACAGTATTTATTTTTTAAGAGCAGAGGTAGAGGAAGTATGTTTCTTCCTATTTGGTCTAAGGAGCCTTTATAAGAGCTGGAGAAAGAACTCATTTGCTACAGAGAAATGAAACTTGTGACTCAAACCAACTCACACAATAAAAGTCACAGGCACAATTATCCATTTGGTCTTTTAATTAATTTATTTATTGGCTTCTCCCACCTTGGATTAACTTCAGGTAGGAAATGTGAATCAAAGTACTATGGGGAATCACAAAATAGAAAGGGATTTAACATTGTTGGCATAGTGGTATGGTCTTGTAGTCTCAGCTACTCTGTCGGCTGAGGTGGGAGAGTCACTTGAGCCCAYGAGTTTGAGGCCACATGGTGAGACTCCATTTCAAAAAAAAAAAAAAAATAGAAAAGAAAAAAGGATTTAACAGATTGGAAGTTCTGTGATTAGAAGAATCTCATTAGTATAATATGACTTTATTGTTATGACTCGCCTTTGCTTTCTTACAGTGGGTACATTTCTGAAATTTATTAGTAAATTGATTTTAGAATGTCATATTTTTAGCATCCTATAAGAGTTGTCCTTTAGAGGAATTGTGATATAAAGAGCCTCTCATTTTCCTGCCTTTGGTGACTTTCAGGGCTTTTCTTTTTAGGCACACACAGTGATACTTTCTATGAAYAAACTGAAGGTGTAAGTCATTTTCATTCCAAATATTAACTTGATTTAAAATCAAATCCAAAGTAAATGGAAGAAGTCCTATCTTTCTCATATCAACAAATCCCCCACAAAAGTATTAATAAATAAATTCTCACACTTTCAGGGAAATGTGCMTTTTTATTGGGGTTTCATAAAGATCAAAAACTTTTGTTTTAAATGAATGAATATGTAGTGGTAGAATTTCAGGTGGTAGGCAGAATTTGGGGGGTTTTTTTTGGATCCCTTCTTTTCACTCATTTAGAATCACATTTTCTTAGTTGGTCTGCTAATGTGTCGAAAGCATATTTTAAAAATRTAACTTCATAAAGCTTTTACTTTTCATCCCAGTAAAGAAAAACCTCTAGTAATGCATTATCCTTTTCCCACCCCAGATCCTAGATGTTTGGAAGACTTGAAGCCTGGAAACTGTGTTGATTATGTGGTTCGATGGTATTATGACAAACAGGTCAACTCGTGTGCCCGCTTTTGGTWTAGTGGCTGCAGTGGCTCAGGAAACAGATTCAACAGTGAAAAGGAATGCCAAGAAATCTGCATTCAAGGGTGAGTAAGGAAAGTAACCTGTCTCTATTGAAAGCCCAGAAATACTCCAATACAAAGAGGGCACCGTTTTGTGTTTTTATAATTTAAAAATGTAATGAAATCCTCACAACAACCTTATGGTGTGGGTGGTGATGTTAACTTCTTATATAGCTGAGAAAGCTAAGACACTGACAAATTTAGTAGCTTGTCAATTGTCAATCAACTAAAAGGTGGTGGAGCTGGGCACTGGAACTCAGGGCTGTGTAACTTTGATACACAGGCTCYATCTGCTTCATGACCTGTGATCTGAGTTTGATTCCTGTTAATTCCTGTCATCATACATATTATGTTAGGTCAAACACCCACCTCTGCCCATGGCCCCACTCCCTCACACCTTCACACCCTTGTCACTAGCAGAAGGTAAGTGGTGGGGAAGGACTTTGGTTAAAATTAGAAGTGATCAGGATTTTTTTTCTGTAAGTGGACACAATACCTTTATTTATTTTTATGTGGTGCTGAGGATCAAACCTAGTGCCTCACACGTGAGAGGCAAGTGCTTTACCACTGAGCCACAACCCCAGCCCAGTGATCAGGATATTTTTATGCATGAGTACTGGTTAGGCATGGATAAGGTGAGGGCAGTGAGATTTTTGCCATACATGCCCCAAAAGTGATAGTACAGAGAAATCAATCTGAATTAAGATGACTATAGTGTATTATAAACTGTTACTTCCTGTTTCTCCAACATGTTTGATAAGACCTTCATTGTATGTTTCAGTTAAAAATTTAAACACAGCAACTTTCAAAGTACATGAATGGAATTTTTGATTCGACGGGGATGGAATGAGAAGGCACTTGGCAGCCAAGAACTACTTGAAGCCCACATCTACTTTTGAGCAGGATAATTTAAAGATAGGACTCACACTGAAAAATGAGCCATCGAATTGCAATATGAGTAAATGGAGAGTTCAGTCTGTCATTTTATAATAATTTTGTGACATCAAGTCTGGGAAGAGCATTAGTTCTGAGCTGAGCTCAGACAGCATTTGTACGTATCATCCGACAGCATACTTTCTCCTTCTTTCAGACTGTGACTCTCATTCAAGTTCAACAATGCAGAAAAGAACTTTCAAGGAAGAAGGAAGTGGAAGAATCGCCATCTTAGCAAAAATAATATTATAATTCTGGGAGGTAATTAAAATTGTATTATGTAATATTTGATACTATAAAAGAGTCCTTGTAAATTTAAAAACATAATAGGATGAACACCAGTGAACACATCATCACCTAGGAAATGAACCAAACATTACCCACTCTATTGAMGTTTTTGAGTGCCATCTGCCACCACAGCCCCCCATTCTATGCTAGGGACATATTTTGAACATATACAACTGTTGCTACTGGTTTTGTAGGTACTTTTACATGTAAAACTATATGTATCTCTAAGCCATGTTCAGTCTTGAATATTTTAGAGCTTTGTAAAAGTGGCAGCAGACTTTAGTCTTCAGCAACTTCCATTCAACTTTATAATTAATCATATATTTTTTCCATATAAAATATAAACTTATTATTTAGATTTTTGAGCTTTAGGAAATTGGTGTTCTAAATGGATGTGGTGGCATATACCTATRATCCTAATGACTCTGGAAGCTAAGACAGGAAGATTGAAAGTGCAAGAATGGCCTGGACAACTGAGTGAGACCCTGTCTCAAAAATCAATCAAGCAAGCAACAAATTAATT